CACAGCTCACAGCAACCTCCAACTCCTGGGCTCAAGTGAGTCTCCTGCCTCAGCCTCCCAAGTAGCTGGGATCACAGGTGCCTGCCACAACGCCCGGCTATTTTTTTGGTTGCAGCCGTCATTGTTGTTTGGCGGGCCTGGGCTAGATTCAAACCTGCCACCTTAGGTGTATGTGGCTGGTGCCTTAGCCACTTAAGCTACAGGCGCCAAGCTGCACACCAGTAATCTTAGCACTCTAGGAAGCTGAGGCAGGTGGACTGCTTGAGCTTAAGAGTTCAAGATCAGTCTGAGCGAGAGCAAGATCCTGTCGCTACTAAAAAGGTAGAAAAACTGGGCAGGTGTTGTGGCAGACACCTATAGTCCCAGCTACTGAGGAAGCTGAGGCATGAGAATCTCTTGAGCCCAGCATTTGAGGTTGCTGTGAGCTGTGATGACACTACAGCCCTCTACCCATGGCAACAGAGACTCTGTCTCAAAAAGAAAAGAAAGGAGAAGAAGAAAAACAATACCAAACCATTGGTGAGGAGGTGGAAGAAAGGAAACGCTCACAGACTAATGGTGGGAGTCAAAATTGGTTCAAGTACTAGAAAATTGGTTGGCAGTTTCTATTATAGCTGAACTTATCCTATGACCCAGAAATTCCACTCCAACCTGACGTGAACAAACATATATCCACCAAATGTCAAATTCTCATTAACAGGAGAGGTAAATAAATTGTGCCATCTTCACATATCTGAAACTATACAACAATAAGAACAAAAGTTCTATGGCTACATATAATAGCTGATGAAATTCAGAAGCAAAATTCTGAGCAAAAGACACAAAATAATACATATCGTATGATTTCATTTACATAAAGTAAAAAACATGCAGAACCAATCCCTGTAGTTAAGAGTCCAGTTACTGGTTACCCTTGGGGGCATCCTAGAGGAAGCCTGAAGGGCATTCTAGGGGCTGATTATGTCCTTTTTCTGAGCTAAGCTCTGGTTAACTGTGTTCAGTTCATAAATTTTTTTTTTTTTAAGACAGAGTCTTGCTCTATACCTTTGGTAGAATGCTGTGGCATCATAGCTCACAGCAACTTCAGATTCTAGGGCTCAAGAGATTCTCTTGCCTCAACCCCCCACATAGCTGGGACTAAAAGCATGCACCACCATGCCCAGTTAATTTTTCTATTTTTAGTAGAAACAGGGTCTTATTGGGCGGGGAGGGGTGCCAAAACCCAGGAATGAACCAAGGACCTTTATTTATTTATTTATTTTTGCAGTTTTTGGCCAGGGCTGGGTTTAAACCCACCACTCCCAGTATATGGGGCCCGTGCCCTACTCCTTGAGCCACAGGCACCACCCTGAACCAGGGACCTTTAGACCAGAATCTCATTCTTGCTCAGGCTGGTCTCAAACTCCTGAGCCCAAGCAATCTGCCCATCTCTGCCTCCCAGTGTGCTAGGATTACAGGTGTGAGCCAGCATGCCTGCCAATTTGTAAATTTAATTAAGCTGTTTATTGATGATTTGTGTACTTTTCTATACA